CACAGCATCACCTGAGGCATTGACTGCCATGATGGAATTTCTTGGTAATTTAAAATTCAAAGAGGTCCTTTTGGCTGGAGATCTCAACATTGATTGGTGTAAGTCGACCCCCCTCTGTGATAAATTCAAGGAATGTTGCTTGTCTCTTAATCTTACCCAACTGATCAACTCTCCCACTAGATTAAATAAAAATCGTCCTGAAAAATCCTCCATCTTAGACCTGTTTCTAACTAATATACCTCACAAATTCCCTGGTACAGGTGTATTTTCCAATATCTTGATTGTGTGACAGCGACTCTCAGAGATATTAAACTTCCACCTTCTAAGCCCAGATTAATTCAAAAAAGGGATCTGAAACATTTTTGTGAACAGTCATTCCTCTGGGATCTGTCTCACTTTGACTGGCATCATATTCTGTTAACTGATGACGTGAACTCTGCTTGGAACTATTTTCATAATAGTTTCATTTATTTTGTGAACAAACATGCTCCTTTCCGTCAGTTCAGAATAAAGGGACGAGACAGCCCCTGGTTTACTCCAGAGCTAGATGATCTCCTGCACAGGAGAGACCATCTTTGGGCCACAGCGAGAAAATCTGACTCAGACACTGATTGGTTGAGTTTTTGACAGATGAGGAATAAATGCACAACTGCTGTCAAAGCAGCAAAACATAACTATTTCTAATCTCAGACCTCCAAAAATCTAAATGACCCCAACAGATTCTGGAAAACCATCAAATCTCTCTCAGGCACCCCCCAATCATCTGACCTCTCATCACAACTTCTCATTAACTCTGTTCCTGTGTCAAATCAGCACGAGATCCTGAACTGTTTCAACAAACATTTTGTTGCTTCTAGTTCTTTATTTGACACAGTTACTAATGGAAGAACAGCCACTTCACTTAATAACCAAACTTCTACAAATCAAATCCCTCCTACAAGTCAATCCTCAGTTAATCACAGCTTCTCTTTTTCTCCATTCTCAGTCAGTGAGGTCAATAAACTGTTAAAAGATCTTGATCCTAAAAAATCTGCAGGTCCAGATGAACTTCCACCTTACTTCTTAAGGCTGGCTGCTCATATCATCACAGTCCCTGTGACCCACATCTTCAATCTCTCCATAAGACAAAACTCCATCCAGACACTTGAAAACAGCCTTTGTTCTTCCTTTGCTGAAGGGAGGTGACCCCACCTCACTGAGCAACTATCGACCAATCTCTAAACTCTGCATTTTAGCCAAGGTTCTAGAAAAATTGATAAACTCTCAAATCAAAAATTACCTGGACTCATTTAACATCTTACCTCCACATCAATCTGGTTTCAGGAAACAACACAGCACAACCACTGCTTCACTGAAGGTTCTTAATGATGTTGTTGAAGCACTGGATGCTAAGGATTATTGTGCTGCACTTTTCTTAGACCTGTCTAAAGATTCTGACACTGTGGATCAGAACATCTTGTGTCATAAACTCTCAGAAATCGGTTTCTCAGAACACACCATTATAGGTTCTCTAACTATCTTTCAGACCGGAGGCAATGTGTTCAACATAATGGTACTTCCTCCAGTTATTTAACAGTCAACAATGGTGTACCACAAGGCTCAGTCTTAGGATCCACCCTCTTTACAATCTACATACATAATGTAGGTAAAAACATCCCTAATGCATCCATACATTTCTATGCTGATGACACAGTTGTTTATTGTCGAGCTAAAACTGTTGCTAAGGCTTTCCAGCTTTTGAAATCTGCATTCAACAACATCCAAACTGATTTATTACGCCTCAAACTTGTCCTAAATGCCGAAAAAACCAAAGGGATGCTTTTTTCAAATAGGAAGTTGGTCCCAGCAGTTCTTCCTCCGATTTTATCCTCAAATGGTGTCCCCATTGAGTTTGTTGATTCCTATAAATATTTGGGTATCTTGGTCGACTCACATCTCTCTTAAGCTCCATGTGGAAAACTTGGTAAAGAAACTGAAAGTTAAACTGGGTTTCTTTTTCAGAAACAGATCCTGTCTAACCCTGAATGCTAGAAAACGCCTTGTATCTGTGACTTTCCTTCCCTCAATTGATTACGGTGACATTATTTACATGAACACTCCTACAAGAACCCTGCAGATGTTGGATGCTGTCTATCATGGTGCACTAAAATTCATAACTGGCTGTGATTATCGTACCCACCACTGCACCCAGTATTCACTGGTTAACTGGACATCATTAACTTCACGCAGACTCTCTCACTGGTATATTTTCATCTTTAAATCACTTCTTGGTCTGCTGCCTTCATACATTTCCTCCTACATGTCTCTGTGTGAGTGCAGCTACGGAGTGCGCTCTCAGGACATTATTACCTGCAGTGTTCCCTCAGTGAGGACTGAACTAGGCAAAAGGGCCTTCTCCTACTCCGCTCTTGTTTCCTGGAACATCTAACAAAAAGACTTGAAGCTCTCGACCTTGACCTCTCTAAATGTCTTAAAGAATCTGTTGGACACCTGGCAGGGTCCAATGCTGACATGTTCCTGTTTTTAGTTTTCTACATTTGTCTTTGAATCTAGCTGTTTTTTTTTTGTTGTTGTTTTTTTTGTTACCTTTTCCTTTTATCCATCCTATTTGTTAAAAATAAAAAATAAAAAAAAACCTGCAGTAGGACTTTTTATAACTGTTTATTGTTGTTGCTGTTGTCCATTGTTGTCATCATTCTTTGTTGAAATCAGGTCTCTCTTGTAAATGAGTCCTCGAGGCTCAATGGGATTTATCTGTCTAAATAAAGGTTGATTGATTTTAGAATATCTTGATAATCAAATGTGTGTTTAGTTCATACCATTTCTAAATGTTGAAGTAAACCATTCATTTAAATCAACTGTGAAACAGTATTAATGATTTTTAAACCTCATTAGACTTTGATAATACAGTTAAATGTCTGTTTACGAAGTAAGTGTGCATTTTAGTTTTCTGTCTGAATGAGGAGTAGTGATGTCGGTCGAAAGTCAGAGACAAACAGAGATGAGTTATTAGAACGAAGTGTCTTGTTTTTAAACCTTGCAGACAGTAAATAACTTCAACTGGCACCTGCTTTGTCTCACCTCTTCATAAACATTTCTCTGTCTGTACTAACCGTTCGTAAACATTCCTGCTATCTCTTGACTCCTAGTGACCCTCTTGACATCACTAGAACCACCCCCTGCTGGTTGTTTCAACCAATCAGGAAGTACCGCATAACAGGAAGTGCATACCCCTTTAAAAGGAACACTTCGTGGAACTATTCAATTCGATGCTGGCAGTTGTATCCTGGAGTTCAGTCCTGAAGTGCAGTCCTGGAGTTCAGTGCTGGAACTCAGTCGGAGTCTTAAGTCTTAGGGCTAAGTCTTCAGAACTTGGAGCGGATGGATGGGACCGTGTGCCAAGTGGTCCCTCCTTTTAGCGGAGTCACGGCTCGCATCGCTGTGCAGTCAACCGGAGCAGTAAATGCTCCACTTCTAAGGAAGCTTATTCGGTGGAACCGAATACCTCATGAGTTTATGCATTTATTCTAAAGAGTCCCAGCTACTTTAACCGGAGACGCTGTAAAGGGATCATACTAATGGACTTCTGTTCCGGAGTGGAGGTATCCCCATCTTAGGTAACAAAGTCTCTGCACGTCCTGAAGTGTACCGGAAAGCTGAGCGGGTGTCGGAGGAAAGGTGCAAAGTTCTGGTTTCACACATAGCTTCCATCTAAACCTCCTTTTAAATTTTCACTTCTATTTCTCCTCTTTAACTTTTCTATTTGCCAGTAATCCAGATGCCTTCAGAGGTGAATCAGCCTCGATCAGTAATGTTCTGTTGTCTTGTTAGTAAAGCGTGCCAAGTTTTCATTAATCAGGAACAGATCAGCAAATCAATTTGTACATGTTTTGATGTTAAATTTTGATTCTGTTAAATAAATGACCACATTTATTCTGATGGGTCAAAGATAAAATGGCATCTCATGTCACTGATTAAACAATCCACTCA